TTTGGTTAAGGTTTCGATATGCTGTCCATTTGCAAAAATGCTCTTTGATAGCTAATTTGATTTGAGATGGTTCAGTTTTATTGCAAATAGAACATCGTTGATACAACTTCACCACTTTTTTAATAGCTTTGCCTACATATAATTTTAATTGCTTTTGTATAAGATTAGCAAGTTCTTCATCAGAGTTAACTTCAACTTTCTTTATTACTAGTTTTGAGGCAAATCAGGCTTGGAAATAGAAACAAATTCTGAAACTTCCCCAGTAATCTATTGTACAAATCTATCTATTAATATATTTTGTATTTTTGATATGTGCAGGAGATTGTGATCTATAATAAGGTTGAGGTGTCTGCAATGGTTGTGATAGCTATATTTGCTGAGGAGCTGATTATAAAAAAACAGATTAGAATTGTGTAGGTATTATTAATTTAGATAACAATTTATAACTAGACTGAGTATTTTACTAACTAATCCTAATTTTTTCTCTGCTTTTTGCATTTCAATTTGCTCTAAAATTTCAAAAAGATCAGCTAATAGTTGCTCAGTACTAATGTATTTCTCATTATCTTCTAAGTCTGAAGACAAACCTCTTAGAAATTGTCCTTTAATCTGTTGCTCATCAAGATTAAGTATTTTTCTATATTTTAAGAGTTTTGAGTAAAATTCTCCTATAGGTTCACCTTTCTGAGCTAATGATCTATAAACTAAATTGTACTTTTCACTTATTACTGTAGAATATTCATTTCTAAGCTAATATAATGCTTGACTAATCTGAATATCACCAAATGCTATAGAATTAGTATTATTTGCATTAATAGCATTAGCAGGTCTATCTGATAGATATCCTTCAGCTAAGTGCCAATCTTCAGTAAAAGCTTTAGCTGGAATCATAGAAACACCTATAGTTACTGCATTATTATCAGCAGTATTTGCATAGTTATGAGTAATTAAAGGATTTTCAAAGCTATTACTAGTATTCATCTGTGCTATAGTATGTCCTCAAAAAGTACCCATACTAGCCTATCTATGATTTGCAAAAATATTGTTAAGTTCCTATCATTTACTAAGAATTTTTTAATCAAACTATTCTAATGCTTATCTATGTAGACACTCTTTAAGAATACCAAATACTTGATCTCGATTAGCAACTAGGTCTATACCAGTACTAGCTAAATATGATAATAATTAACTAATAAAAATATCAATATCCTTATCATATTCATCTAAAAAATTTAGTAGTGGTAGTAGTTGTAATGCTATATTTTCTTGTTTATTTATAGGTAAATTATTCTGTAGCGTAAAAATTTGTTAATTTAAATTCAAAATTAATTGCTCAGAATTTTGTACTTGAGTTTTCTACTTACCCCACTTGTTGTCTAGTTGACTATCAGTAAGTAATAGATAATTTTCTAGAGTCTTGCATTTATTTTTTCACTTATTGTATCAATTTGTTATAAGATTTAAAAGATGTGTAGTAATTGCTCTATTCATTTTATAATCTTGTAGTTGCTGCCTGTTTTGCTGAGCTTGAATCTGAAATTATCTATTTAAAAGGTATGATACAAATTTTTCTTGGAGTAGCTCTGATATATGCTTATTTTTTTCTATACAAGTTGCTTTTAATAAGTGATAATTAAGTT